GAAGATCATAGGACGATAGATTTAGAGCTAGAAGAGATCTTGATGGTCAATGAGTTCAACCCCTTCATTCTACAGAAGAGGAAAAATGAAGCACAGAAGTCACAATGACTTGGCCGAGTTCACACAGCTAGCTGAACGAACTTTTTTTAAACTAATTCTTACATCCAGTGACCCATCCAGAAGGCCAAGCTGCCCCTCTGACAAGTTATCTAACTTTTTCCTCTTAAAAAGAATGTCATTGTCTTGACAGAAGGTATCATTTAGGAGTGAGGGGGAGGGAAGGGAAAGGAAAGGAATGGAGTAAGAGCAGCCTACAGATGACTTGTTACCTCTTTTATTCATTCAAATATTCAAAATGAGCTGGGATTTCCAAATCCTGTTCTTATAATTTTCCAGGACACCTAGAGTGCTATGAACACACTGACTTCTCTTCCCCATCACTTTCATTTCAGCATTTCCTCTGAGGAACAGTCAAGAAGGGTGAGGCAAAAGAAACAGGCTTTCAGATGGTATCTCCAAAAAAAAGCTGGTCTTGATGTCAAAAGGCTCCAGCTTTTGTTTTTATCTGACTTCTTTTTTTAATCAGAAAGGAAGTCATCCATTCTCAAGATGGAAGGGATTCTCCTACCAACTTCTTGGGTGTCCTCTCCTATCATGCAACCAGAATTACAGAATCTGAGAATTGGAAAGAGACCCCAGGGACCACCTCTAGACCAACCCATACAACAAAAAGGAATTCCCACTAGGATGTGCCTGACAAGCAGTCTTCAAGTACAGAGAGCCCACCACCCACTAGGGCATCACATTTCCCTTTTGGACTGCTCTAATGGTTAGTAAGTTTCTCTGGATGTCAAGCCTATATAGATCCTTTTTGCAGTTTCTACCCACTGCTTCTGGGTCTGCTCTATAGGGCCAACAAGACAAGTCGAATCTCTCTCCTAGGGGACAGACTACCCAAAAAACAAACCAGGACCCCTCCTATCCAGACCTTGGAGCCAGGCTGCTAAAGGGAAAAGTGGCCCCCACCCACTGGAGTGGGAGGTTCGAGTCCCCTGGCACTCAACTCATTAACTGGCAAGAGTGCTCCATCATTTCCTGTTTCCCATCACGGTTAGTCACTGCTTCTAATTCACCTGTAGGGCCTGAGAAACCAAGAACTACCACATGGGCTTAAAGGCTTTGGTTCTGCCGCAATTTTCCCCAGGATACACGGCCCTCCCAGAGTCATCTTTTCCCTCTCCTTCCATGAAAGGTCACTGGAGGTGTCTGGTATCCCAAGGAACCAGAAAGTAAAAATAGGTTAAGGAGTCCCTCTGGTCAAACAGAATTATGCCTGGAAGCCTAACACTGAGACAAGGGGCAGGCATGAGCCAGGTCATATATATGAGCTGGACAGGAGCTGGCTGAACCACTCAATTTTATTATTTTAGTAATCTATCTAGGGCAGGTGGGCTGGTGGAAGAGTGAGGAGAATCCACGTTACCTCGCTCCTAGCTCCAAAACTCACTATATTATAGTACTCTCCCACTCTCCCTACTTTTGTTAAAAAGTGTTAAATGAGGGCAGCTAGGTGGCACAGTGGATAGAACACCGGCCCTGGATTCAGGAGGACCCGAGTTCAAATCTGGTCTCAGACACATAATACTTACCAGCTGTGTGACCCTGGGCAAGTCACTTAACCCCACTGCCTAACCAAAAAAAAAAAAAAAAAAAAAGGCAGAACGAGGCATACATTTTTTTGGATGTGGCCAATGTGTTTTGCTTGACTTTGCCTATTTGTGATAGTTTTCTTTCTTTTCTCAATGGGGGAATGGGAGGGAGAAAATAAATGCTTGTTAATCGAAAAATTAAATAATTTTTATTAAATGAAGGAGTTAAGACTCAGTGGCTTTTAAGGTCTCTTCCAGCTGTAAAATCTACGATTCTCTAACTGTTGTCTTGCCCCAGGGATCCCAGAGGTAGAATTTGAAACCAGGCCCTCTGATTTTAGTGTTTATTCAAATGTACCCAGGTAAGAGAATCGGATGCTGGCAAAACCAGGACCCCATTGTCTTTTTGAGGCACGCTCAAGCTGATGGGCTTCAAGGAACAAGGTGGAGGGCAATCCTACTTCCCAGAGGCAGAAAGCTGTGAGGCTCAAGGAGCCTGTTCATCCGGTGTAAGCAGAGATTGAGAAGAAAAAAAGGAGAATGGGGGGATGGGGTGAAGGAAGGAGAAAGAAGATCTGAAGGAAAGATGAAGGGGGAAGAAAAGCCCCACTCTTTGGGGGTGCTGCAATTTGGCTTAATCAAAAGGTCATCTCCAGGGACTCTGGCTCTATCTTATCAGTCAAGGAAGACAAGACCTCTTTTAAGTCAGCTGCTTGGGTAAAGAGTTTATCCTAGAAAATGGAACTCAGCATGGGCATTCACCATTGTCCAGAAACCAGACCCATCTGCTGTACTGAGGAAAGGAGATGGTGGCATCAGAGAAACCCAGGAAAGCCACTGGAAAACAAAAAGTTTAAAAAATTTTTTTTAAGTTAGCAAAGTCTCAGCAGCAATTCTACAACTGGTTGGTGAATGCTGCTCCTGGCCAGGATTAGCAGAACGGAAACAGCTTTTCTAGCTAAAATGTACTTAAGACAAGAGATCATATTGCAGCTAATTGGACCACTGCTGCCTTCCTTCAAGAGCCCCGAGAGTCCCAATTCGGTTTTTGGTTTGGGACTGGCAATTTCATTGGCACCAAAGAGCTTTCAGAAATTAAGGAGGTGGAGTAGGAACCCCACCCACCTCTAAACCCATGGGCTATTTGAGGCCGCTAACCATTTACCTTCCTTCTCCCCTGTTCAATCAGACCTTTGACATTAAAACAGACCCAAATAATGGCTGAGACTCTTGAACAGTTAGAATCACACAATGGAAATGGGGGGTCTGCATATTCAATCAGGAATTCTACCCCATAATCCTTCCCACCTCCAACCTTTTTCCTTCAGGGCAAGTAGACTTTTTTTAAGTGTGGGGGTAGGGCAGGGGTGAGAGCTCTAGGGTCTCTTCCTGCCTTAAATCGCAGATCCTTTTCATCCTATTGGAGAAGTTCCCAGCCAAAACTGCTCAAGCCTTATATTTAAATCTGCAGGACACACCCTGAAGCCAAGTCATAATTATTCATTCCTCCTAAAGGCAGGATTCTACCATCCTAACTCTTCCCAGAAACACAGAAGGGGAAGTAACAGGATTTATGGTCCCTGTTGAAAGAAAAAAAAAGAAAACTCTGACCTTTACACTAACACTACTCCCCTCCCCTTCCACACAACACATCTGGTTTTCTCATCTGCGTGACTATGTCAGCAACTGTGTGACAAAGCTGAATGAAAGGAACTACAGCTCAGGGCCAGCCCCCTCCTCAAATTCTCCAGGCCCCACCTCACAAAGACAAGAGATTTATTTAATACCCAACAGACAACAACATGTGATGGTTTGGATTGTAAAATGTGTGTAGAGGATCCCAAGTTTTATTTGAAGGGGCTGGGCAGGGGCATAAGATGGAGTGGATGTTTTTTTCACCAGCCTTTTGAATCCAGGAAGAGTTCCTGGCTTTTTTGAAGATGCTGTTTTTAAACGTGGCTGAAGAAAGCCACGCCCATCTCACCCCAACCCACCCAGAATCACCTCCTCACCTCCAAAGTCAGTGCAGAGGACAACAGGGGCCCCCCATTTCCAAGTTAGAGGGGAGGGATGCAGTGGAGGAAGGGCAAGGCAAACGTGGAGGGTACAGCTTCTAGAGACACTAAAAAAAGGGACTAAGGTGAGAAGCAGGCTGCCAGACAGACAACAAAAGATTGGAGAAAGGAAATATTGCCCATCAAAAGAAAGGAAGCCTTCTGGGGCAAAAGTATAAATTATATGCAATACCTCCCACCATCCACGAGTCAGAAGGATCAGGAAGGAGACTCGCCCCCGTGGTGAGCTGATGTGGCATCTGCACATTCTCTTCAGAGGAAAATGTTTAGGCAGTTGTACTTTTAAGTTTAGAGAATGAAACTGAATGAGTTTTGTGAATAGCAGAGGCTCAGCAGAGTTCCCTGGGCAAGTGTAAAAGGCAGAATAGACTTCCTCACCTCCCAAATTAGAGTAAAAGAAAAAAATACATATATATTTCTACATATATTTATAAGGGGAGGGGAGAGGGGGTAAGACAACGACCAAGGCTGCAAAGAATGAGTGATGGAGGAGCCGCCCCCCACCCCACGAGGCAGACCCGTTTAGATAGAAGTCGAAGAAAGCATTTCAGGAAGCATCATCACTTACTCCACTCCCCCCTGTAATCTCATCATTCTGCTCCCTCCCCTCTACCCCCAGGAGAGAAGAGTTAGGGTGAGGGAAGAGAGAGGATTAGCGTCCTCCCAGCTACCGGGGATTGGGAGGGGTGGGGGCACCTGGGAGGCCTTTACACATTCCAAGGGGAAGGGGATTGCTCCGGGGCTCCAAAACTGCCCTGGGGGTTTCCTTTCGAATTCTTTGGAGGAATTGGGATTCCCGGAGGGTAGGAAATGAAAGGAAAATGTCCCAAGACAGCAAAGCTGTCTTCCCCTCCAGCCCCAGGGTTGCGACCCCTGCTTCCTTGGCCCTCTCCCCACTGGCTACAGATCCATCCATTCTGCGGATCCCTCTCCCCCAAGGAGGGGAAGGGAGGGAAGGAGGGAGTGGGACCAAGCCCCTAGACAGGAGCTGCCCTCCCTGCCGTGCCCACTTAGGCAGCCCTCACGTGGGAAGCATCCTTTTCCTTCACATCCCCGAGTGGAAACCGAGGGGGGAGGTGGCGGGGGGGAGGGGAGAATGGGGAGTAGGCAGGGTGGAAGCCGCGGAGAGAAAGGAAGGTCAGGAAGGCTTAAGCAAGCCGCAAGCTTTAAGAAGGAAAAGAAAGGGCGGGAGTAAAGGGGAGTGGCCAGGCCGAGGCAGGGCTGCGAGGAGAGGAATTGGGGCTCCTGGGAAGGGAGGGGCGCGAGGGACCCTTACCCTGGCGGGTGGACACGTTCCTCTGGTTACCCGCCTGCAGCACCACCTGGGGACAGCTCTGCTCCAGCACGAATAGCTCGTCCTTTCCCACCTTGGTGCTCTTGCCCGCCTTGAGCGTGCCGCTGGGGCCCGACGGCGCCAGGTAGCGGCCCTCGCAATCCCGGAAGGCCACCTTGCCCGACCTGAACTCCAGGGTGTAGCCGGTGCCCGGCTCGGGCTTCTCCACCAGGCGCCCGTCGTTGCGCAGGAAGCGGTGGTCGGCCGTCTGCACGCTGTAGCGCTGGTCCTGGAAGACCAGGGTGATGAGCGAGTCCACGCCCCAGGGCACGTCGCGGTCCACGGCGATCTCGTCCTGGCGGGCGCTCAGGTGCGCGTAGCGCTTGCGGGTCAGGCTGTAGATGTTCACCTGCGGGTGCATGGCGATGTGCACGCTCCACTTCTCGGCGGGCGAGATGGTCTGCGCGAAGCACGACAGCCGGTCCTCGGTGCCCCCGAAGTAGCGCCGGTGAGGCTCGGACTGCAGTGACCAGCGCCCGTCGTCGTGGGCCACGATCAAGAAGCGGCAGTCAGCGCCGGGCGTCTCGCTGTCGCAGCTCACGTTGCCGTCCTTGTCGGCCGCCAGGTAGCGGCCCAGGTGGCTCTTGAGGCACACGGCGTGGCCCCCGCCGCTCGCCTCGTCCGCCGGCTGCTCCAGCGTCCAGATCTGCTTCTTCTTCAGGCTGGTGGCCGAGGCGTTCACCTTGAACCCGAAGGCCTCCGCCGTCAGGTACTTGTTGCCGCAGTTGATCAGCCCGAACTGGATCTGCACCGACTCCGACGTGCCGTTTGCAGTCATGCTGGCTCCGGCTTGGGGGGCGATGCTGCGGGGCCGAGTAGAAAGAGAGAGCGCGGGCGGGCAGGGTGGAGAACCTGGGCGCCGGCGAGACGAGCCGCGGAGCTGGCAGAGGGAGGGCTGGCTCTTGCAGGGGCCCCTGGCTGCTGCCTCGCTCCTCTTGTCTTCTTATCCCCTCCCGCCTGCCTGCCTTGCCTTGCCTTGCCCCACCAGCTCACCCCGGTCCTTTGTTTGCCTGTAACGTGCTCCCGCTCCCACCGCTCCACAAAGCCTGCCTCTCACCGCCCCAGCTGCAGCCTATATAGACAGGATGATGTCAGGGGGTTTGCAGCCGGCCCCGCCCCCCGGCAGAGCCTCTCGGCCCCCGCGGTGGGGTTGGGGTTGGGGATAGGGATGGAGATGGGATTGGGAAGGAGAAGAGGGAGGGAGGCTGCAGCTGCAGCTCGCAGTGGGGGCAAGCACAATGCAGCCCACAGATCCCCCCCCTCCCCACCCCCTAGCCAACCAGCCCCTCCGAGTCCCAGCCAGTGTCTTGCAAAAAAGAGGCTGGGGCAAGGCGGGAAATCTGAGGCGAGGTTCATTCTAAACAAGTCTTTTCATTGATGGGGGTGGGGGTGGGGGGTGAGATTTGTGGAGGAAGAATCCACAAATTTGGGAGGGGGCTTTTTTTTTTTGCCACGGGTTTTACTTTTGCTTCTTTCTCTCCCACACATCCTGGTGGGCAAATCCTGCTTTGGCCTTTTCTTTTTGCATGGCTTTGATTACTAGCCACCCCAAATTCCACCCACCCCAAACTGGCCTGCTAAAGTAGAGAATGTAAGCATTCCTGAGGGCCAAGGGGTGTTCCCAGAGCTTTCGGGAGGGTTCAGAATTGTGCTTCTGACCGGCTTCCCCTCCGTGGGGGGGGGGGGAGACAGCAAAGAAAGAATATCTAAATTTCTCTTTATAAAATCTCAAGGACAGAGTCACATTGGGCTCAAACCCCTACCTAAGTAAAATGGAACTACCCAGACTAATCCAAAATCTCTAAAGTTAGATCTGTGATTTCTCTTGAATCTCCTCTGTCCTGGCGAGGGAACTGTGTGCTTCTTCCTTCCTTTCTTAGCCTGCAATAGTAACCTCTCCTACATACATATGTACTGTAAGCTGGTTACAAAGAAGGGGGGAGGGGAAGTGAAGAGAGCCTTCCAAGGGCTAAGAAGTGAAAACGAGGCAGCCAGGGATGTTGCTTTAGCCCCAGGTTTGTTGGGCACCAGACCTAGGCTGGCCTCCCCCTTTTAACCTTACCCACCTTTGCCTAAGATATTCTTGTCTTCTGATAGTAACCTTTCCTTCAGTGCCTTCAGTTCCGTCATTCAGCCTCAGAAAAATTTCCCTGTAACTATTTCACTAGAACTCAAGCTCTCTTGGCTGCGAATCCCCCCTGGATATTCCCTCCTGGTTCTTCTGCATGGCCTTTTTCACTACTTCTAGAATTCCCCTAGATTTCAGAAGTATCCTCTGCATTAAATCCTGTGGAGCCTCCCCCTAGGCCCCTTGGCTTCTCACAAGCTTTCAGGCTGCTGTGCCTTCTTCAGGATTTAATGCAGTGCCAGAGAAATCCAGCAGGTCCGATCTTGAAACCTTGCTTGGTTCATCTCTAAGCCAGGGTGCCAGACTTGAAATCAGAAAGAGCCAAGATCACCTCCTCCCTCAGATTTACTAGCTGTGTGACCCAGGGAAAGTGACTTAATCTCTCTGGGCCTCAGTTTCCTCATCTGCAAAACAGAGATAATAATAGCACCTACCTCCTTGGGTTATTGTGAGGATCACCTCAGATAATACATGTAAATGGCTTAAGAAAGCTTAAAGCGCCATATAAAATGTTAGCTATTATTAATTCAATTAAATTCAATAAATATTTATTAAGCATTTATTATGCCTAAGGTACTGTATTAGGGATTGGAATACCTAGGTGACATGTGGGCACTTACTCCATTGGTGGAAAGAAGGAAGGAAAAGCATTTCTTAAGCACCTGTTATGTTCCAGGCACTGTGTTAAGTAATTTAAAAATATCTCATTTGATCCTCAGCAACCCTGGGAGGTAGGTGATATTATTATCCCCATTTTATAGTTGAGGAAAATGAGTCAGACAGAGGTTAAAATGACTTGCTCAAGACTATTAAGTGTCTGAGGCCATATTTGAACTCAGATCTTTCTAACAGCAGGATCACAATCTTTCTATTCCTTTTCAGTCTCTTCAGGGGTTCCACTCAATGTGCTAGAAGCCATGTTCTGATTCTTTTAATATTCCCAGGATACCAATATATCACTCAGTTTTTATCCTTGTCTCCAATTGCAGTTACATAATTAGGCTGTCTTCCTTTCTGGTCATAGCTGTCCTCGTAGCCTTACAAGCAAGTTTTTGCTGGTGTTATGCTGAAGCCTAGTTAGACCTCTTTTCTTCCTTCTTTGGGTTTCTTGTGAGATCATAACATTACCTGATTTGAAAACATATAGCATTGATATGAGAACATGAGTATAAAGGAGATGGACTTTTACAGTAGCAAGCACTGTTTGGAATCACTGAAAGAATGAAGGACTCTGCCATTTTCCTTTTTTTTTCTTTTCTTTTTTATTTTAGGCAGTTGGGGTTAAGTGACTTGCCCAGGTCACACAGTTAGTGTCAAGTGTTTGGTTTGAGGCCGGAATTGAACTGAGGTCCTCCTGCCTTCAGGGCTGGTGCTTGAGCCAGGCAGCTGCCCTGCCATTTTCCAAAAGCCATACAACCTAATCTCTGCCTTCTCAATTATGAACTCAACTTATTTTCTATTTAGAGCTCTTATGCAAGAAATATGTTAATAATCCCTTCCAACTCTCAAACTCTGTGTTACTCTGTGACTAACTAAATGAAGTTCGTGTTGTAGTCTGGGGAATGTGTGTGTGTGTGTGTGTGTGTGTGTGTGTGTGTGTGTGTGTGTGTGTATTTTTTTCATCCACTTTGGTTTTCTAGTGTAAATGGTTAGAGTGGATTTGTAATATTTCAGAGCTGGAGGCCCAGTGCAGTTAGTACAATGTCATCAGTAAATAGGAACACTGGGCAAACTTTGCTATCAATATGGAATCTTTCATGTACTCTACTAGAGCCTCTCACAAGGAATCTTCCATGACATCAAACAAACAATAGGTGGGCACATAGCCCCATTTTAGCCGTTTGCCTGATGTCAATAATCAGGAGATCTTTGAACAAAATTATAGTCAAATCTGTCTTAGGATCTTATATAATGTTGACACCTCTCATTTGAGAAGAGCCTTCAAGGTTGTACTTTGTTCTGTGTTCATTTTTTTTTAATGAACTAAAAAGAGATGTTGGAGAAGGAAATGGCAAACCACTCCAGTATCTCTGCCAAGAAAAACCCAAATGGGGTCACAGAGAGTTGGATAACAACTGAAAAACAACTAAACAACCAAAAATACGATATAGTTAGAGAATAAAAAGAACACTGGCTTTGCAGTCAAAGAACCTAACTTTTCAAGTCTAGGCTCTAATATTGACTATTTGTGTGACTTTAAGCAAGTCACTTATAAAATGACTTGTAACTTTTTAAAGTTGTAAAGTCACTTGTAAAATGAGGCAACTTTGTAAAATGGGAAGTTTGATTTAAATCAGCGGTACCAAACTCCAATAGTAATGGGTCTACCGAATCATACAAAAGGATCCCTGCAGGCCACATGTTGACTTAGATAACCGTATATTAACATTATCTATGTTCTATTGTATTTTTATTTTGTTAAGTATTTCCCAATCATATTTTAATTTGGTTCAGGTTGCACCCAGATTGTTGTCCCCTCCTTGTATTTGACATCTCTAGTTTAGATGACCTCTGGGGGTTTTTCCAGCCCTTCATCTATGATCCTGCGATCTTGAATTCTTATTTCTCAGTCAGTTATACAATCATGAAGATGTGGTGTGCTGTAGAAAATTATCTCTAAGAGCCTACCTGTTCTTTTTATGTTTTCATCAAGGATACCATTCACACGTGAGTAGACCATTTCTTATAAAGATTGTTTAGCTATAAGAAAATAGGCAAGTAGGAAAGTGGTAGTGATGTTAGTGGTAGTTATACGTCATCATGTCTTCCTAGTAACCTGTTCTTTATTTAAATGTCTGTCAATGATTTTTTCATTCTTTTAGAATTTTTCCCTCTTTGAGGTATCTTGGATTTGGCTCCCAAATGTTATTGAGATTCTGCAGCCTCCAGTAACATTTCTCCTAACTGTGTTTGGCCAGCGCCAACTTTTAAGTCCTATCAGGTACTGAATCTGTAGTCTAGGTATGGTGGCTCTTGAATTGTTGCTAATGACGATAGATTACCATACCTCACATTTCTATGGCACTCAGATCTCATTTGATCCTCAAAATGACCCAATGAGGGGAGAGCTTTTATTATCCCCATTTTACAGATGAGGAAACTGAGAATGAGAGGGGTTAAGTAACTTACCAAGGGTCACACAGCTAGCTACTAAGGATGTGAGGTAGTATTTGAACTCAAATGTTCCTGACTCCAAATCTCTTCCATTTTAGACTCTGTTCCCCAACCTGGAAACAAAGCAGGTAGCTGCCTCCTCCTCTAGGTCACTGACTTGTGCTACCAGTATCACTCTTAAGCTCTTCTCCTCTGACCCCCAGTAGTAATCATAACATTTTGAGACAATTAGACATTGACTTCTTAGATAACTTTTTTTTTTTTTGGCCAGGCAGTGGGGAAAGCAACTTGCCCAGAGTCACGCAGCTAGCAAATGTTATGTGTCTGAGGCCAGATTTGAACTCAGGTCCTCCTGAATCCAGGGCTGGTGCTCTATCCACTGCACCACCTAACTGCCCCCAGACATTGACTTCTTAACAGGAAAAGAGTAAGAAACTTCTGCTCTGGCCCATTGGGCAGACAGAGGATATTAGTGTCTGGAAGAAATGAGACTTAAACTGTCATGTTCAGTGCCAGCCCAGCTTGATGTTTTAAGTCTTTTAACATGGGCTGGATAACCAAATGATATGAATGGGAAGAGGTACTAAAGGGGATGGAATGAGGTCCAGGAAATAATTGACTGTTTAAGGAGTAGCAAGGAAAGCCAGCCAGAGCTACCACCTCAGCAATCATCTCTTGAATTCTGGATAGTACTTTATAATTTCTTTTTTACTTTAAAAACTTGACATTCATCAAGAAACAAAAACATTCCAAAATACAAAGGACAAAAAGGAGAATTGTGTATGAAACAGTGAGCTTCTGTTATGTTCTGTTTATTTTTTTAAGTTT